GTTTGGTGGAGAAGGGATTATGGTGTGGGGTTGTTTTTCAGGGGTTGGGCCTAGCCCCTTCTAGTGAAGGGAACTCTTAAGGCATCAGCATACCAAGACATTTTGGACAATTTCATGCTCCCACCTTTGTGGGGACAGTTTGGGGATGGCCCCTTCCTGTTTCAACATGACTGCGTACCAGTGTACCAAGCAAGGTCCATAAAGACATGGATGAGCGAGTTTGGGGTGGAGGAAATTGACTGGCCTGCACAGAGTCCTGACCTGATGGAACACCTTTAGGATGAATTAGAGCTGAGACTGCGAGCCAGGCCTTCTCGTCCAACTTCAGTACCTGTCCTCACAAATGTGCTTCTGGAAGAATGGTCAAACATTCCCATAGACATACTCCTAAGCCTTGTGGACGCCTGCTATAGATGCAAAGGGTGGGCCAACTCAATTTTGAACCCTACAGACTAAGACTGGGATGCCATTAAAGTTCATGAGCGTGTAAAGGCAGGTGTCCCAATACTTTTGGCAATATAGTTTATATATCTCTATCCTCATGCATGTCTTACAGTGCACCACAATAAATAAAATTGATATATATTAAGGGGTCATACTCATGCACTACTACTAACGTGGTGTACATGATGCAGTGTTCAGCATGTGACAAAGGTTGTTACATTGGGGAAACTGGCCTTAAACTGCATCTCAGGATGAACCTACACAAGAGTTTGATCAAGAACCACAAAGAGAATGAATATTGCACTCCAGTAGGACATCACTTCTCTTAGAAGGATCACTCCATCCACAACCTCAATATTTAAAGTACTGAAAAGGAATTTTAAAAACTCTCATGAAAGGAAAACATTTGAGATGAAAATGATTTTACATTTCAACGCCATAAAGGAGGGACTTAATGTGGATTCTGGTTTTCTGACACACTACCAGAACTTTTTATGAACCTACGGAACATCACAATATTCATGTATGTTGTATATATCTGATCTGTTTAGGGTTTATTTTGTCATCCTATGTTTATTTGTTCCATCTTTTGATTATCAGGAGGCATTTTTTACTCCCAGGTCCAAAAAATTATATAAATTATATATACCTTTTGTGACCTAATATTTCAACAAACCACACAAGCCTGTGTTTAAATGGTTAGAAAGGAAGGAAGCCGCCACCGTTCGATAGAAAACAATTTTTAGATCATTATGCACAGCCACAAAAATTCCTAACATTCTAAGCTAAACCCCAAATTCCTATTGAGACAGGAAATGCCACTTATTATATGAGAACTTAATTTTTTTTTTTTTTAGTTGGCCAACAATTTTAGTTTTTGTTCTAGCGATGTACTTTAACCAAAATCATTTCTAAACTTCTCTTAATGTTCATGGCCAGATTTCAGTTGTGTCCCTGGCCATTCTTATTTTGCCACACCCTTTGACCACAGATCTTTGCGACTGCATTATGTGAACCTGAAATATTAATATTTCTACGTGTGGCCAAAGGCTCCCCCCCTTTTTTAATTTGTTTTTTTACAGTTTTAAAATAGTTTATTTAACTTTTGTAGCATCGAAGTTAAAGCACATATGCAGCCAAAAGGTTTGTGTGTTTTGGATATACTACAAAGGGTTAGAACCTCTGTCAGATTTTTACTGTTCTGTGCACTCCTTAACTTCCTGTCCTGGGGAAATGGGTTAAGATGGACAGGAAGGAATGTAAAATCCTTGCAGTGTGGACAGTACCATTTTTTTTTTTTGTAGTGTGAGAAAGTTAGACTGAGGTTTCAGAAGTGCATCAAGTTACCTATTGTGCCAAATGTTTTAAAAGGGTAAAATAATGACTAACATTTGTCAGCCCTGGCATACAAGCAAAGAGTGGATAAAACAAAAGATTTTCTGTTCAGAAATAATATGAAAAACCAGATGGCATTTGCAGAATTTGAGTTATCTGAGCTGTGATTTATAAAATGCTTATCTCTCAATTATCCTGAAATTCAAAGGATGGGAACAGTGACAACACCTTTACACCAGCAGTTCATGGAGAACATTTAGTAACTTTTAGTTATATGCATTAGCTAGATTATACTCGTTGGGGCTAAATGTATTAAGCACCCAGGGACAGCAGTTTACTTAGGGCTTGTTCACACCGAATGAGGTGCGTTCCAGAGCGGTAGCTGCTGGAATGCACCGCGATCCCTCACGAAACTTCCCGCTGAGAGCAAGCCCTATTTTTTGTTTGCAGTGGAACGGAACGCAGGCAAAGTTTTGCCACGTGTCCGATCACACTGCGGAGGGGGGGGGGGGGGGCGTGGAGGCGGTGCCATTGAATTCAATGCACCGCCACGCCCCCCTTCCAACCCCAGAACACGGGGAAGTTTCGTGAGGGATCGTGGTGCGTTCCAGCAGCTACCACTCTGGAATGCACTGCATTTGGTGTGAACAAGCTCTCAGTTGCTAAAAAGCAACATATATATAGTAAGAGTTAAGCAAACAAAGTTCTGAAAGCATAACAAAATATAAGGTCAATATTGGAAAAAATATATATTCCCATGCTTTTAACCTGATTATCATGGTCTTACGATTTTGCAATAACATACATTTCATGTGCTTGTGTAAGCTCCAAACTGTATTGTAACAGTACTGTCACCCCCATTATGTAAAGAGCTGCGCAAACCTTTGGCGATTGTTTAAAAAAAAAATCCTGGTGTGTGTGTTTACACACCTTCTTTTTTTTATATTCTTCTTTTTTTATTTTATTTTTTTAAGCGTTATACGAGATGTATACATATACCAACACACTTTATAAGTCAAAGGGAATGTACGTGCTGATGGTTTTTCTATTTCTTTGTGTGCTGCCTTTTAAGAATAAATGAAACGCAATTCAATGCTTGCACCAGCACATGGTAAGATCAAAGCTATTCTGTGACATAGTAACATAAACAGGGTAACAGTAAGAGTAACAGGGACATCAGATTACAAAGAGTGTAGAATTAATCAGAAGAGGTACCCAACCTTTCTCCTCTTCTAGCCGTGATGGTACAGTCTTCTCCAGTCAACTAGTATGTCCAAAAGCATTGCTGCCATGTTTTGCAAACTGATTGTTTGCACTCCCCCATTGCCATCCTTAAGAGAACTATAGGGTGTGTTTTTTCCCCATAGTTCTCTTTAGGGTCACGGGAGGACATATAGTAACCTCCTCCCATGACCCAAAGCTCAGTGTATAGCGAGCTGTTGCCCCTGATATACTGAGAGCGCCGCAGCCGGGACGGATCCCGACAATGCTGTCGAGATCCACCCAGCTGCATGAGTGACAGCTGTCTCTGCCTATACAGAGGCAGAGCCAGCTGTCCCCTCCCCGGTCCATTCCTCCACTCAGGGCTGGAGGATCAGAGAGGGGAGGGGGATAATCCCTACGGGGAGCGGTGACTAACGGTCACCGCTCTCTGCAGGGAGATGGTCGGAAAGTGAGTGAGCAACTCTATGTGTTTGCTCATTTCCTCATCAATAGAGCCAGCCTGTGACAGCTTTTTTGTCTCAGGTCGGATCTAACTATGAGGATGAGTGGAAATCACCCGCCTCATAGTTCTCCTTTGTTTATACTGAAACACTTGACCCCACCTGCCTATTTACTACAGGAGAAAAATTATCTCTCGACCACGGTCATCTCTTTCCAAATGCTGGATGTGTCTGGGAGGCTCTCACAAGGGTTTGCAGTATCATAAAAAGGTAAGGACACACTAAAGAGTTACGAATATTAAACAAACCCACTGCTTGGGGCAGCCCGTGGCTGTCCTCCTGAGGTGAGAAAGCAAGTGGAGTGGGAGTAATCGCATAGAAGTGCTTGGGAGGGTGGGTGTATTTTCATTTAATTAAAGTACACTTGGTTTTTAATCGAGTGGGAAGTTGAAGCCTGCTTATGTTGTCCAAAGAAAATGGCTGGGAAGCAAGGCACGGAGCTTGGCTTCCTCATGTAATGGAGACTTGGAGCGTACTCTGTGTTCTGTGAATGGATAATGAAACCTTTCAAGTAACATTGACTTTGCAATAAAGAAGAAAGTATGTCTGCTGTTAAAAGTAGTGTGCTGGGGTGGCAATGTTATACATATTTTCTTAATTGTGGCTAAAACAAAAAATAACTTTTTTTAAATTATATACTTTTTCTGGTAAATATGAAATATTGCATAAGAATATATTCAGGTGGAGCTCTAGGCTCCTTTTTCAGGTTTTCCTTTTTCTCATTACCACCTGTTGTAAATTAAATTTAATTAAATAGCATGTACCTTTAACTGAAATAAATTCTAAAATGCATGGAGAACGGCAACGTTTTACCAGGGAGTGCTGAAGATCCAGTTCTTTAATGTATATTGTCACAGGGTTTGTGGCCTATGTTGTGGGGTAACCCATCTTTGCCTAAATAGATATTACCCCACAACAAACGATTAATTTGAAATACAGTTTACTGATAGTTTTGTATATGATAGTCCAGTCTTAAACAACTAACGACTACTGTATGACAGTCTTAACATGTACTAAATCCAGTTATTATGTGATGCACAAGCCTCATAAAGTAAACCAAATACTTGCTTTATCTTCCCTGACTGAGTCAAATCCACCTTATTTGCACTTTCCACTGTATTGCAAGCAGGCACCCCAATATAAGTGGAAACTCTGCTCTGAATTCAGGAGCAGTGCAGCATGTTTCCCACACCATCACAGGAAGCTGCGTTAGGTCACTGACCGGTTCAACAGATATGTGGATGTGGAACTTTGCAGAGAGTCTGATATCTGTAAGTGCAGGTGCACTTATAATTAACATACCTTTAACATATTTTCTTAATGGAAGGTCAAAGTTCTACATTAAATATTCATCTGAAAGGGAATTGGGTGGCCCTAAAATGTTGTCTTTTGTGTACCCGGTTTTAGATCTCTGAAGATCTTTTGGTTCTTAAAACAGTCACTAAGTATTGACAAGTAATGTGTTTTTGTTTTTTTTTGTTTTTTTTCTCTCTGTAGAATTTTTCAAAGAGCTTCTGAAAAATGCAGAGTCGTCATTGAATGACATGTTTGTGCGGACTTATGGACGTTTGTACATGCAAAATTCTGAACTTTTTAAGGATTTCTTTGTGGAACTGCGGAAGTATTATGTTGGCGGAAACGTTAATTTGGAGGAAATGTTAAATGACTTTTGGGCCCGATTACTGGAGCGCATGTTCAGACTGGTAAACCCTCAGTATCAATTCACAGATGAATATTTGGAGTGTGTCAGCAAGTACACCGATCAGCTGAAGCCATTTGGAGACGTGCCACGTAAACTCAAACTTCAAGTCACGCGTGCCTTTGTGGCAGCTCGTACCTTTGCACAAGGTCTGGCTGTGGCCAGGGATGTTATAAACAAGGTTTCCACGGTAAGAGTTTTTTTTTTTTTCTTCTTGTTTTGGAGTGGTATGGGTTTTTTTTGGCAGCATTTTAATATGAACAGCATGATGTGCAAATTAGGGGGGGGTTCTATGTTCATTCTATGGCTTATGCTACGTTTCAAAATGACATGATAAAAAAAAAAAAAACCTACAGATACACATTTACTAGTGCATGCCAGATTTGAAGTATGGATTCAAATAAGCATACCGTATATACTCGAGTATAAGCCGTCCCGAATATAAGCCGAGGTACCTAATTTTAGCCAAAAAAACTGTGAAAAAGTATTGACCCGAATATAAGCCGAGGGTGGGAAATGAGGCAGCTACTGGTAGATAGATACCATTAAAATACATCTGAGTGGAGATTAGGTGGAAGTAAATTATATTCTAAATAACTTGCCATTTTGAATTTATTATTATCAGTTATTATTTTTCAAAAAAAATGGTTGATCCCACTTTTTCTACGTATCCAGAAAACCTGCCGATGATACATTATAGTTGATCAGCTGAACACATCCAAGGAGCAGGTGATCTGAGGTCCTAAAAAAAAATGTAAAGCAAATGAATTGTGTCAATAATCTTAATTATAATGATAAATGAATTGGTCATGGAGGCAGGAGCTTCATAAAATATATATTTTAAAAGAAAAAAGGATTCACAGCTGTTGGTGCCTGTGGGGAAAATCCATACAGATCTATCAATTTTATCTCCTTTATTTAAATTACTTGCATGTGTTTTTACTTTTATTGCAATTTTCTTTTTTTACCTGCTCTTTTCAAAACGCCAGTATACATGTTCTCTTTATAATGTGCAAATGTGTGATATTTGATAGACTGAGCTTGGTGGATGCTGCTTTTCGAGTGCTATCAAAATTCTGTAGGGACCATTAATTATGGAATACTCACTTGTGGAGAAAATTAAAGGATATAGACAAGAGAAGCCTTTATCAGCAGGGATAGATTATGCTGATACTACATGTTAATGTCTGTTCATATTTATTATTGGTATTTGTACAGCGCTTTACATACTGTACATTCAGATCAGTCATTGCCCTCGAGAAGCTTACAATCTAAGGTCCCTATTTCACATGTATACAGGGCAAATTTAGACAGGGCTATGGTAGTGAAGTCGGATGGAGAGAGGTAACTAGCATTTTCAGAAGATCGGTACTGGCAGTTGATAAAATTATAATTGTTTTTTGATGGGTGTACAGAATTCTTCTTTTAGAGATTCTTCTGGGAATTTGCTTACTCCTGTAATCCCATTTCCAAGCTGTTCTCTTCATGGATGTGTTTTTTTTTTTTTTTTTTTAACCTTCATAATAAAAACAAAACAGTTGCCCACTCTCAAAATTCCATTCCCACACCTTATAACTTGGTATCCCCTGCCAGAGGGCAGCCATGTCCATGATGCCTGATTATAATGGTGAATTAATCTAGCACCTGTACCAGGATAATTTTGGATTCCTATAGTCCTTTTTCACTCATATCATGGGAAATTATTTATTCAATATAAACCTTTAAGCTGGCCATACACTGCTTGAATTTCATCCAGCTTCTGCTGAATTGGTAAAAACTCAAGCTGTGGGTGGCCCTGTCGGCATCACTTGGCTCAACAAGTCAATTTAAAAATTGACTGAGCCGGGTGGAAAATTTGCAGCTAAATAGAGACTGCATCATGTCAGATGCAGTCACTGTTCACATTTTCAGGCCTCTACATGCTCTACAGCAGCCTGAATACAATAACCAGCAGGGGGAATTTCTCTATCCATCCTGTTTAGCATGGATGGTGGAATCCAAGTAATTTTTATTTTTTTCCCTCCTCAGCCTTTGGGTTGACGAGAAAACAAAAAGACAATCCTGGTGTCCTATGTGTGAGGGCACTACTAGTGTCAGCATTCTCTTAGCTTAAGTTATCTGCTGTCAAACCAGGTGAGCAGATGGAGTTTTCTAGTTTGTCTGTCTTCTAAGTTGCTATCACTAAAGACCTTGGTTAAAATAATTTTTTGTAGCAGCAGCAGCAGCATTGGCTGCTGCAAGTAAAATCTGATTGAAGGATGTGCATAGGCCACCCCCATGATACTTCGCAAAGGCATCACTTGTTGTGATATCTGCTTTTACTAAAGACTTGAGAAACATTCCTTGAAAATGTATTGATAGGATTGATACTAGTTTAAAGCAGAACTCCAGGCAACCGTTTTTCTTCACATCTAAGAAAAAGAAAAATTGCTTGTATGCCATGTCATTCTTTACTATTTTGTTCATGCTAGATAGTAACAGCGCCCTAAGAATTTCCAAAGCTATACTATGAGAGCTGCTGCTCTCATATACAGAAGCCATACTATCTTTTATCCACTTATCAACCACACAAAAAACATTTCCAAAATACAATGAAGGGAATTTATCAAAACTGAAGCACCTGTGCATGGCAACCAATCAGCTTCACTTTCATTTTCAAATCTTAACCTAACATAAGAGATGCTGATTTGGTTGCCCTGGGCAACTGCTCTAGATTTTGATTGCTCCAGTTTTGATAAATTCTCCCAAAAGTGTTCAGTGGATGGACAAGGGGAAAGGAGTCGCGCAGTTTATCTTTTTTGTGTAAGGCCGCAGCCCTGGTAGTATTGTGAAAGCTATACTATCCGGCATGAATGAAACTGTAAATGGTAAAGAAAGGGCAGCCATCCTAAAAGTGGCGTACATCGAAAAAAAAATTGCTTATATAAGAAGATTTTAAGGTTGCCTGGAGATTTTTTCTTTAATATATATTTTTGCCTTTGCACTTATGGTGTCATAACATAAGAAGTGAAGGAGTTAATGATTATGCCAGCAGTTTCCCAAAGCAATAATTAGTCAATTCCCTTTGTTCCCACTGTTAGACCAGGCATGGCTGAGGAGGTGTTGAAATTCTGAATGGTGTGACTCAGACCTATGAGTCACCCGAGAAACATCCTGTATAAATCCACACGAAATTGCCTTACCTCAAACCTCCCTTGCTAAAACTCTTACACCTTCTGGAACCAAACTACAAAACTGAAAGGGACAAAAGCGCTCATTAGTTAAGGAATGCAAAACCTTTTTTATATTTTTACTTGTCTTATGCGATCTGTTTAGTGTTCAAAGTGGCCTGGTAAATGTGATGGCCAACAAAATCATATGTCAACCTTGCCTAAATGGCTGCCTAATGAAACCTGCTTTGCAATAAACCGCCCATATAGAGGCATATATTCTCCTGCATCATTCCGCTTTTTAGTATTCATACTAAAGCAAAATTGTGACTACAGCATGTCATTCTCATTACAGTGTAAAACAGGATAACATGGGGACATATTTTGGAATAGTTTTATAGTTGTGATTTTTAGGGTTTGCTTGCACTTTGAACATTTGCAGATATCATTTTATAGTGTAATTGCCGTGAGTGTTGACTGATTGTACTGATAACATTCTGTCGTCTGCAGAACAGGTTGGAAAATATTTTGACTAATACCTCCAGTTGATTCCATCTTTAATAATTGGTTTTGTATCTAGAAGACTACAATAGTGTTTGTTATATAATGAGAGCATATTGGCAGCACTATTTTTAATTTTTTTTAAAGGGAAGTAATAAGGACTTGTTCATAATGTAAAGCCTTTTTACAAGCTTCATTGATGCAACTTGTATGCAAAAGTAGAAGTGGATGACTTATCCCAGTGATTTCTAGCTGTGACTTATGCCTTACCAGACTCTCATTGAGGTTTAAATGAATCAGCAAAGCAAGCAGGCCCTGCTGCAATGTTTCTTTTGCTAACCCACCATTCTCTAAAATTCCTTATTAATGTTTGTAAAACATTGAGTCCTCTCCATAATTAAAAAAAATACATACAAAACCAGTATGTTTCCTTTAAATTCAAACCTGTATGCAACATAATGGGGGTTATTCACTAAGCTGCCGAAGGCAGCCTAATGAGTAACAGAGCCAAAGTAAAGGGAGCCGAACCCCATGACTGACTTCGGCTCCCTTCGGTTCAGCCAAACAGCCTCAGCGCGTTCAGCTGAACCGAAGTGAAGAACACCTAAAGGGTCTGGTATGAATCGGGAGGGGTTTTTTCCCCCCTCTATATTTGTTTACGTTGGTGGGGAGAACAATCTGCCGAAGCAGACAGTTCTCCCCACAAATGTAAAGGTGTCTTCAGTTCAGCCGAGCCGATCGCCTATGCTTCGGCTTGGCTGCGGCACAGGCTATTGTGAATAGCCCATACAGCAGCCCTTCGGTTCGGCTAAATATGCTTGTTCTGGGTTAAGCTGGCCAGACACACCAGTAGAATTTCCTTTAAAAAAAGATTTCTAAACATTTGTCAGATTTTCTAATATTTAATGGAGTCAAACTAACTGCAGGTTGGAAAAAAATTGAAGGAGCAAGATGGAACATTTTTAACAGACAAATTTGTAACGTTGACTTTTGTCTTAGTTTCAGAAACTATTAATTTCTGAAATCAAGTGTTAAAACTAGGTATGCGCCGATACCGTTTTTTTCGGTATCGAGCATGAGTACCGATTTTTTTTTTTCCTGTACTCGCTGATACCGAGTACTGGTGCCTTGTGCCCCGATTATTAGGAAGTCGGGCAGTGGGTGATGACCTGTCGCCCAAGTTCCTGATTGGTCAACTTTTTTCGCTAGAACACCGGCTTCACAGGCAATCCGGAAGCTGGGCAACAGGTCATGAGGTGCCGTCTAGCTTCCTGATTGGCTAGGAAGCCAGCTTCATGTGTTGCTAAGCAGCCTGGCTTTTTGATTTCTAAAATATGATCTGATATGAGTATCTGCTTGGGGTTAGGGTTTAATCAAGTTTCTGAAATCTATAATCCCTGAAACTGGCTGGGTCAGACTGGAAAGTCCTGACTCCTTTTGTCTAGACTACAGAGGATTCCTGAGATTGTCTCATGGCAGCAGTGCAGAAAACTTGGCAGTACAAGAATAATAGGATGTATGTATAATTGCAGGTCACAGC